ATGTGGCTACCCACAGCTGAAACCTACTGCATAAAGTTGAGGCTAAATAAAGATGCGCTGCTGGGTGGATTCACAACAGCTGAGCACAGGTGATACTGCATGAAGAGGACGTGCAGCACGCAGCACTCTTATTCGATACACAGGCCATGAACTTGGACACAAAAGACAAATGCAATGGGACAAGCAAAGAAAACTGTTCAGAGAAAGCTCAGTGAAAAACACAAAGGTAGAAAGCAATTAAGTCAGACTAATTAATCTTCTTACTTCACACATCGGCTTTAATAACTGCAGAACTTCACTTTTTGTGCCTCCACTATCCAAAAAAGCACAAGTCAGAGTCTTTATCCAAACGTCATGATTTTCACTTTGAGGAATCCACAGGTTTGTATCATCCAAGCCTTCTAAAGGGCTTTCTTTCTCAAGTCTGGGTACTTCTAAAAACTAGAAAAAAGTGATCAGAAAATGTAAATAAGGTAGGCAGAAATACATTTTACCTTTTCTTGCAAAACAAATATCTAGGCACAAATAAATCTGTTTCTAAATGGAGGCAGCCATGACCCTTTAAAATTAAAATACATTTATGTTTACATGAGAGGCAGAGTTGTAAAAAATTACCGACCTAACACAGCAAGAAACTTGAGTTCTACTCAGCTCACTAGTGGTGTGTTAAACAAATCACAAATTCTCTGCCTTATCTGTCTCATGTATAAAACCAGTCCAAATCTACTATGCAGCATTGGTTTCAAGATGAAATGAAATTTTAGAATGTTAAAACCACAGTGATTTACAGGTTATTAGTTTTATTAGTAGTTTAATATTATTAATATTAGTTTAATATTAATGATAATTAGACTAAGACCAAAACGATATTTATGATACATTAAAAGTACTATTGCAATAATGGGTATAAGCCCCAAAATTAAACTGGTGAGAACTCAACTGCTTATTCCTCAGTTGCTTTATGGAAAGAAAATATTAAAGAAAAATGCTTGGATGAAAGGAGAAGCAAGAGTTCTTAAACCTTTCATAGAGTACTCTCAGTGGAACCTTGTTATGACATCAACGTGCAAAAGGGAGAAATCTGTATGTCACCTTCACTTTCCCTAGGGGTCTGTGGTACTTTGACTTGCTATGGAAATAAGTGCTTGCTTGTTGATCACAATACCTATAAACCACACCCAGGAGCAGTAGCTTTCATGGGATCAAAGTAAGAGTTTTCTACTCCTAAGAAAAATAGCTGGTCATGAAGAATCCCTACTATCCCCCCAAATCAACGATCACTTCTTTCGGCCACCCATCTCGGCGTTTTCACACCGCCATAACTAAAAGTACAAATACCTTGGACTCAAGAAGTACAGCTGGAATTATTCCCAAGAAAGGTTAAATGTTAGTATATTAAACAATTTGATATTCCCATCCCAGAGCAAATAGAACTGTTCTAGATATAGTGAGCACCCAATAAACATTCATTATTTGTGAGACCTTTTTTCTTGATGTTCGAAAAGGCTGTAGATAGGTCAGCATGGGATCAGTGGTCGTCTTATACATCTCCCAGAAACTATGTCCAGTTTTTGTACCTAAAATGCTTTTCAAACAGGTAACAGCTGCTGATCGCACTTTGACACTGAAAAACACATATAATTCAAATGCCACAAAATATATCAACTATTAATCTTGATGAATAATAGGCAAGTATCAATGAAAAAACTAAAATATGAAACTTTAAATTTATATCAGGAAATGTTTACATTTATTAAGAAATTTTACATCTATAAAATCCTGTAACATCAAAGCAAAAATTACCAAAGGATTATTAATATTCCTTTAGTAAACGAGTTACTAATCACTGCAACAGCAATTGCCTTCATTCAATACAGTAAAGTTTATATTATGACTACTATAAAAGGACTCATAAAAAGAAATACTTGGAAAATACATTGACCAGTAAAAATGAGTAATGAGAATGACAGAATACTAATTTACCCCAGTAAAAGTACTTTGGTAACATTTTCTCTAAAAGACACAAATAATTTGAGGTAAGACGGAATGGAATTTCCCTACAAATGATAAAATTATTGTCTAAAATAATTTTAAATGAACATTTAAGTGTGTACTTATTTTGACCGAAAGCTAGTTGAGAATCATTGCGTAAGGGATCTAAAACCTCGAATACAACACTGAAAGTCCTTCTCTTTTGTAAACTTGGATTCATCCTTCATTCCTCTTTCTTTCCCTCACTCCTCCACATCCAGTTCATCAGCAGGTCCTGCTTTTCTCTGTGTCAGAAACATGCCCTGGTTCCATGCATGTTCTGTCTCATCTCCATCACTGCCACCTTTATCTGAGTCACCAACATTCCTCCTCTGGATTACTGCAGTAGTTTCATAATCGGGCTTCCTGTTTCCGTTTCTGCCCTATCACAATCAACTTGTCATATGAAAGTTAGAGCAAAAATGTAAACTGCATCATGACATTACTTTGCTTAAAACTCAACGGCTTCCTTATGTATTTCGAATCAAATCCAAATTTCTTAATCAGAA